AGTCCCAAGTATTTCAAGCATAAATAACAAATAATATAAACAATATTCCCAGTTGCCTCTGCACAGTCTCCATTACCCTAAGCACAGTATCATTTAATGTTGTTCAAACCTCCACTATCCCAAGTACAATGATATCTAATATTGTTTGAACCTTCATTATCCTGAGTACAGTATCAAGTAATGTTGCTCGAATTTCTACTATCTCTGTTAGATAAAAAGATATATAAAAGATAACTTTTATACTTTTCTGCTAATTCTAAGTTTCTATACTTCAATCTAGACCTTTCTACCTTTATTTTTAACTTGTAAAAGTAATATTTTCCTTCTAGAATAATTCCTATAGGCAAGGTTGTCACTATGTATTTATTTAATAAAAGTTAATCTATATATTGTTACTATCTCAAACCATTTGCCTGCTGCTATGTAGTAAAGTAAACTACTACACCTTCATCCTGTATATATTTGCAATAGTTAATCACTGTATTAGGTGATCTTGTTACTTAGTTGTATTGTACCAAAAAGGCTACAACCCTGTAACAGTATTAAACTATATATTATTAACAACTATAACTCAAGAGCAAATACAAGATGCAAATCCAATATTAGAAAGACCTTTATATTATTTTAAAAACCTCTAATTAATCTTTAGAAAACACTAACAGAAGCTAATTTCACTACTAAGACACTAACAATTCACTTAACTTCTAATTGGCAAATATTAAACAACAATTTACAAATAATATCAAAATGCTATATACAAAATACTAATACCTGTTTTGGTTACTTTACTAACTAATAGCCTTTATATATAAGCATAATGCCTAATTTGCTAAACTTTTTTTTTTTACTACAATTAACCTATATATAGAAGTAAACATCTATACAAACAATCCTACCTTCACTAATTTTATCAATTTGGTAATTTCAGTTAAGCTTTACAACTATTCTGTACTAGACAAGTAGCAGCATACATATCTTTTTTTAATTTTAAAAACATTATTATGTAATTGAAAACTCAATATTATTCTGAATCAAGATATCAAAATTAAAGAAAATACAAGTATAATTTTTCTATTAGACCCAGAATTATAACAGTTTTTATACAATTGTTTCATCCCAAAACTTTTTAATAAACTATGTAAATACCTTTTAAATACTATTTTAAAACATATACATCAAATCACAAACCAGCTATTATAGTTTTACCAATAACAAATTTCAGACTAACACATATTATAAAATAATATTGATTAAGCTTTTATATTAAAATACATTTTTTATAAAGAAAAATTACTAACTTTAAACACTAATTCATTATATTCTATAATCAAGAATTTCAAGATCAAGTTGTTATCAAAAGAGCTTCTAACTTATCTGCTACTGCATTAAAGAAATGATAAAAAATATCCAAACTATTTATATTTAAGATGTCATAGTGACTCTGAGGATATTATTTATATATTAACTTGCATTCAAAATCATATACATTGGTGATCATAAATAATGCAACAAAAAAAAAAATTTTAGTTAGATCGTATTATCTCATGCAATTCTGGGCGTATTTCTTAAATTTTTATTTTATTTTATTTGCAAATAGCAATATTATTATTAATAAAAAAGATTTAAAAATTTAATGATTAAAATTTTTTAGGGGTATGAGCTTTATTTCAATATACATATTGCATTATTTTTACTTGTTTTAACAGCAACATGATTGTAAAACTAAAAATTTTTTTTTTATATAAAAAAAAAAATTTTTTTGTTTTCTAATAATTTTCAGCTATCACTATTTGGTGTAGCCACCCTGGGCTTTAATTACATCACAGATTCGTTCTGGTATTGAACAAATTAACCTCATGCAGGTTTCAACATTGATTACTTGCCAAACCATCTGAATTTTTTTCCAGAGGTCTTTTTTACTTGAAATTTGACCAGAGAGGTCTCTAAGCCAACAATCAACTTCATCTCACAAGTGTTCAATCAGGTTTAGATCAGCTGATTGAGAAGGCCAGTCGAAAAAATTTATCTTCTTCCTTATAAGCCAACGTTTGGTCAAGGTTGCCATATGACAAGATGCTCCATCTTGTTGAAAAACAACTTTATCGACTTCAAATTCATGATCCTCAATCGTTTACATTAAATCTTCACAGAGTATCTTTAGGTACAGATCCATATCCAATATACCATCAACCTTACAATAGCTGCTGACACTGTAAGAGGTAAAGCAACTCCAAATTATAATTGATCTACTGCCATATTTTATAATAGGTTTTATATGGAATTGATTTAACAGTTCTCTATGATGCTTTCAATAGTACTGCTTACTATCTGATTCAAAAATTTGGAATCTTGACTCATCTGACCAAATTACCTTGAACCAATCTTTGACAATCTATTTTTCATATTTTTTTGCAAAAATGAGCTGTGTTTTTCGATGACTATTGCTCAGGTAGGGTTTTTTTTTTTTTATTCCTGACACTAAACCATGGTTTCAAAGTATCTGTCAAATAGTAGATACCAAAATTTCAATATCTTTATTTATTTTAAGGTGGGTCCTTACTTCAATAATATTAGAGCAGCAATAGAAGATAATTAAATTTACTATTCTTCTTTGGATTGGTTTATCCAACAAAGTTGGATAACCAACCCTTTCTAAATCTTCAAGTGTGTGGTTTGTTAACTACTTTTTTCTAATTTGTGAGACTGTGAAAAAGTTAACATGATGGGCCTAACCTACTGCTCTTGTGGTATTTTTTTTTAAAAAAAAAACAATATTTGGGCTCATTTGGCAGAATTTGTACAGTTCTTTTTTTTTGATTTGTAAGCAATTTTAATATTATACAAAATGCAGAATCAACAATAAAACTTCTATTTTTATATATTTTATGTGTCACAACTCATGTGATCTGATCTTTGTCAAAAATAATCAAAAATAATGCAACACATGATTTGTAATAAATTCACAATTATTTTCGCATTGGTAATAAAAACAATTATTAAAATTTTGCTATCTAAAAAAGATAGTATTTGTGAATAAAATAAAATAAAAATTTAACAAATATGCTCAGAATTGCGTGAGATAATATGATCTGACTAAATTTTTTTTTTGTTACATTATTTATGATTGCCAGTGTATAGCTTTCAACTCTAATTAGACAAACAGTATACAAAACCTCATGAAAATTGGAAATACCATGTTCACACTTAGATGCCTTTATCAGAGCATTTATTATTATACATATAACCAAGCAGATGCCACTAGAACTTATTACTAGAGATACATTAATATTTTTTAAAACAAATAGTCATAGACTCAAATATATTTCACTAATATATTATAACATTATTACTGCAATATATAAAAGAATTTGACTTGTTTCTAGAAAGTCAAGTCATGATTCAATTCTTCCAACTCCTACCTCAATACAGGCTCTGATATTAAACAAAACTAAGCTATTGGTTCCATTTTTTATAAAAAGGAAACTAATCAGATATATAAATAATAGACAATCTTCTCTAACACATCTTCTTGAAAACTAGAGGTTTAGCAACCATTCTAGCAAAAAATAAGTTGAACATAAAGTAGCTCTTACTCTCATCTTCCTTAATATAGTTTTTTCTCATGTATTCGTTTTTATATATATACAATTAACTATAAATAAAAGAGATAGAGGATAGACCTCTCTTTAAAAAAATAAAAATAAAATAACCTAATCTTATTATCTTTAAAATTTGTATTTTCTTCTTATACGTATTCAGATATATATACATGAGTATAATTAGTCATTTTCTATATTTATTATATATAAACTATAAAATTTTTTAATACTTTTAACCTTGATTTTTTTTTAGTTGGTTTTTGAAATATAATACCCGGTATAGAATGTTTTCTAAATTATATACTATATATATTATTCAATATATTTAGAGATAATATATATTTGGTATAACTTTTTAAGATTTATATTTATATTTTTTATATATAACTAAATATAACTAAATACGTATAACTAATACTAGCAATTAATAAATTAGATTAAAAATAAGATGTGTAGTTTAAAATAAATAATCTACAAAAAATATAAATTTCCAATACCATATTAATTTAATTTCATTTTAATTTGAGACTATACATATTTTAAAATAAAATCTAAAGTTAATGGTCGTTTTGATTGTTTGTACGTATAGTAAATGTGAATGTTTTTTTTTAAAGCTTGATTTTTTATTAGTGAAACGTTATACTCTAAAAGTAAGTAATTTAAAATACATAAATAAGTTACCCGAGTAATTGATTTCCAATTAAATGAAAGGTTTATTAGTATATAATTATCACTATAATATATAATTATCACTATAATATATAGTATCTCCTGTAAATTATGTAAACCTTTATACTTTAGGCTAGCAACTTGTTACAATATTAGCTTCTTGTGGTATAAAACAATGACAAATCATGTTCATGTGAATTTTCAAGGCAACAATATAAATTTGAAACATAGAATGATCGATCGTTCAATAGGAACTAAAATCGAATCAGTAATTATCGTTGTAAGGGGATTACAAACTATAAATATAAAGTTCTAAGATCACACGACTTTCCCGCCTTCCCCCAAAATTTACGGTTTAGCTGCCCATTGTCCTTTTAAAGAAATATATACAATGAATTTTAAAGTCCGAATATTAAACTAACGCTAAGTACGTACATATGTATATCGATATATCTAGTAGTCTTTCCATATATCACGCGAAACAAGATTCTTTCCTGGCTTTTATTAATGTGATACAGTTTAAAAGCTTATTCGTCTAAAATAATTCAATTTCTGCATTTGCGACAGCATCCTGCATTTTGCGTGCAGTATGAAGGAATCTATACAAAAAAACCGGTAAAAACACAAACGTCAGCAAACCACTTTTTATCTCTGCTTTCTATAAGTATTCTAGAAGTACATTTTTTAACCTCGACGTCGCAAATATTTTTTTTTTACCTTTTTAGGTGTATTATGGCTCCCGTTATTGTTCTTTCACCTACACCTGGCTTATCACCATACGGAAGCGCCTTACTCGAAAAGCCTTCTAATTTATTATTAGTGCCACCTCATAAAAATTACTTTAGACGTTCTACAAACAGTCTTCCTGATACCCTTAACACTGCAATGAAATTGAATACCGAAGAGAGTGCCATTTTGTTAAAAGATATCAGTAATAAACCTTCCTCTATAACTGAAACAAAGTGTGTCAAGTCAAAAACAAATATGTCACAACCTACCGCTCGACAACGTCCTTTCACGTGGTCAAGATATAAAAATGTTTCACCAACTCCTAGTTCGGCTTCTTCACGACGAACTCAAATAGATAAGTTACCAAATTCTTTTGAAGAAATTTTAAGTACAACTCATAGAACTGAAAGAGAAGTTAAGGCATCTCTTTCAAAGCTCAGAAGAATGATTCTTTTAGAGGGTTTGCCCGAAGAGGTATTTATTTTATGAGTGTCGGAATAATGAACCGTTTCGTTTATATATATGCTATTATGTGATTAAATTCTTTTATTTTATCAGAATCTTCCAAAATTGGCCCCGTCTGTTCAAAATTTAATCAGACCTACTTCTATGCGTTCGAGTGTTTGGAAGCATTTGCTTGGTGTTTATCATGTATCTGCCAATGAATATATCCGCCTTATACAAAAAGGAAAGTCTTGTGTTTATGATAAGGTCCGAAATGATACGTTCAGGACTCTGGCCACTGATAAAAAATTTCTAGAACGAGTCAATGAAGATATGTTAATTCGTGTATTGAATGCTTTTGTCTGGAAAATGAAACGTAATTGATCTAATTTTTCTCTATCTCATATATCTCATTGCAATATATTAAAATTTATCGCTAATGTTTTATAATAATATTTACAGCATCCACTATTTGTGGAAATCAAAAAGTTACATATGTTCAGGGAATGAATGTTCTTGCTGCACCGTTCTTATTCACCATGTCGGAAATAGACGCATTCTTTTCTTTTGCTACGTTTATTCAGACTTGCTGTCCTTTATATGTTACACCCACACTTCAAGGTGTTCATTGTGGGCTAAAGGTTGTATTGGGTTTTATTCTTATGGATCATCATCGTTTCTGTTTATATTAACACGCCTTACATTTTTCTTTGAAATAGCTCTTGGATAAATGTCTTCAAATTATTGATTCCAAATTATTCAATCATCTAAAATCAAAAAATCTTACTGCTGAAATTTATGCTTTTCCTTGTAAGCAAGTTTGATTATTTACTTATATTTTTATACTGAAACATTAACTTTTTTTTTATTCTTTCGTAGCTGTACTTACATTGTGTGCATGCACACCTCCTCTAGAACAAGTCTTGAAATTATGGGACTTCCTGCTTGCATATGGTGTTCATTTAAACATTCTATGTGTCATTGCACAACTCATCTTGATGAGGGATCAATTGCTAGAAGCACCAAGGTTTGTCATTAAGTTTGATTTTGATGGATTCTGGTAGTTGAGAAAAACTTAACGGCTAAAATAAAATCTATTTAGCCCAATGAAATTATTGAGGACAATGCCAGAATTAAACGCCAAGCCTATCATAAATTTAACTGTTCAACTTGCTCAACAAATTCCTGATGAATTATATGATCAACTTGTTAAACATCCATTTGATCCGTCTGTTGCTGCCAGCTTATCTAACGAATTATGAAAAGTTTCATCTAAATTAGATGAAAAAAAAAACATTTATCTGGAATTGTGTATCCAATATTTATAACTAAAGATTAAAAAAAAAAAAGGTCTATCGAATAGACAGAAATAGGAGACAAATTATCTCCATTTGGAACTTTTATTCGTATTTAACTTAAAAGAATGTCTTATTCGTCACTTGACGTGACAATTTTTGTATATTAGTTTTTACTCTCTTTGTAGATATTCAGTCCAAATATAGATTATTGGTTAATTTAAAAAAATTTATATACATTTTCCAGAAATTATCGAATAGTTATATGATATAATATTAAGCGATATATATATATATATATATATATATAGAACTAAAAATTTTAAATGATTATACTTTAATTGTATTTTTAGCACCTTGTACTTTATGATTTTCTCTTTATGGTATATAACTGGTTTATAGTAAATATGCTTTTATAATCGGTTTTTCTTTAAATGATTAAGTTTTTATAAATAAATTTAGACTGCAAACTTTAATTATCTCAATAATCGTTTAAAATTAACATTTTATTTTACACGTGATTTATTTTATAATTGACACCACAATAATTTATATTAAATAAATATTACACTTGACTCTCACTGCTATCAACCTACTTGGATCACTTTTATATTTATGTTGATAGTGATATTAATAAGGGATCATATTAAAGTTGATATATATGAGGGTGTTTTAATATAATTTTACGACAGGACGAAATCCGCGTTGTGGTAAAATGCTCATGAATAATTGTAGGTTAGTAATCAAAAATTTTTACAACCCGGCCTTGCTGATCTCTCCGCATCTAAGGTCTTATTAATGAATTTGAAACAACTCAAATATATTTATTTATAATCTAAACTTATTAGAGTTTTGTATTATATCCTACTTATATCTAACCTAGATTTTTGCTTTATATTTAATTATATCAAGTAACTTGCATATTCTCTTATGTCTCACAACCTATTTAAATAACTTTTAAATTGGTCTATTAGATCATTTGCTCCTTATAAACTACCATCTTTGGTTTGCCAGAATAATACTTTATAGTATATATTTTAAACTAAGATCTTGTTATTACTACTAATTTTTTAATTCAAATAATAGTAACATATATCTCAAATCATGTTTTTACTGTTGTTACTAATTTGTATCCTTCTGATCTTAGCATTATTATTAATAGATTATGTATCTAACCTGTTCTTTAAATACTTTTTTTATTTCTTAAATTATATTTTAGACAAATTTGCTTAAAAAATTAAATTGTATTTAGTATTTTTTAAATAAAATAATAATTTATTAATGATATGGAATATATTTGCTATAAAATTATTAGTAAAAATGATCTACATCACCTTTATTCTTAAAAATAAGAAT